AAACTTGAGACAGGGATCGTTAGCCAGCATGATGCAACTTGATGGACGTAAGCTGAAACTGCTCAAGTCTACTAAATCTTACGTACATGCATACATACGTATTTTAGGGATTAATCGATTCGATTGGTGTTTAGATGGATGGATTGCTAGATTGATGCCCGTCCCAGTGGTAATTTATGATCAAATTTCACTCACCAAACTGGATATGAGAGTTGCATTTTGTTTTTAAACACGAACTCGTCCAGCAACTAAATACACACTCGTCTATCTCAGACAAATCGTTGAAGGCGCATTCATCGAGCGTTATTATTTTCTGCAAGGGTTATAAATTAATTTCCTTCAGTTTACTCTATCCAGAAGGGAGGGTTTCTCGCCAGACTGGAGGTGGTCTTATTAAAACAATGATGAAAGCGTTGTGGAAATTTTGCAGACATTTTTATTCTCTACTCGTGACAATTTCATTTGAACATTTTTTCTACTTTCTACGTACTTTATCCTAAAATCAAATACATACCATATGAAAATTTCACATTCCATCACTTTATCCAAATCCTGTCACTCCACAAATTCAACCAACCGGCAACCGGTATTTCTTCAAGAACTGGAATTTTTATCGACTAGGATGAATGACTGATTTTATATTATTAAGTATATTCCGAGATTATATAGGCACACACATCATATTCCCAGAGGCCAGAGCACTTACATTTATTAGTTTTTGGTTAGATGCAAACAAGCGTGAAATTCCTCCTTCCAGCCATCATTTCAGTTGCTTTTCAACATTAGATACATATATTTAGCTTTGGGTCAACGAGGGCAAATTATTGCAGATTTCTGATCCTGTATTAATTCAGTTTAATACTTGGTGCTAAGTACGAGCCAGACGTTCAGAGATGATGCTCCATCTCGTATCATGCTTCATTTTGTCTCCTAATTTACTCATCGACTGGAGATTTATGAGGTGACTCTCTTCGCGAGGGACTGAGGAGAGGGACGAAAACATAAATCTCCTCAGGATAATCATAACAGTTGAAGTTAAGCAGGCTGGACGGAGGAGCGGTGTTTTATGATCCATTTTGATACTGATTAGGGATCCATCATATGCTGATAAGGTGCTTGACTTTAGCTGTGTGTCGCAGTTATTGAGCTTTCTTCTGAACTCGAGCGTTCCTCGTCCCACCAGAGTTCACTTGAACTCTATCAGATTCCCTTTTGAGTCTTTGTACCGCGCAAGAATCTCATTAAAAGGATTAAACTAAGTGCATATAAGCTTTAAGGCTAGAGGATACTGCCGAAAAGATTCTCGTCGAGATAAACATGCCATAAAGTTTGTGAGGCTGTGCACGGGCCAGAAATGACGTTTTGTTCCCTCAGTAGCATATAGTTTTAAGGCTCAAAGTGTTGAATCTAATCTCACTCTTCTGGATGGCTCGCTTCATCCAATCCTTGTACAAACTTATCCTCATGCTCATCCTTCTATATCGCAACTTAACTACACAATTTAAATTTCGGTCCGTTGAGTTTTGTAGTTTTGAGTTGTTTTAAACATGGGAAAAAGTGGTAAAAAATTGTGATTTGGAAGCAGGTGCCATGCCAAACCAACCACCACTTCCTTTTCAAGGGAACCAAGTGAAACCAACAGAGAAAATAATAACATGCACAAGTACAGCAGGGCATGGAACGCCGTATTGTGTTGCACAATGAGAAAGACAGGCAATCTCACAGGTCGCATTTTGCTTCTTTTTCAACTGACCAAGACAGGAAGTTAAGAAATTTTGAAAACAATATTGCAGCATCGTATACATGAAAGGCATGCGTACATGAAAAGATTCGTTTGGGACGAAAGGCTGACTTGAATTATATAATATTTTAAAAATTCTTGTATTAAGACGTTCAAATATGTAACATTTGCTGAATTTTAAGCGAAATGTCAAGCGTTTATGATTGCTTTGCAATAACAAATTTTGCCCAAGGGTGTAATATATATTCTTCAAGATATAATTATGACCCATCCCACGATTTTCTTGTCCAACCGGTCACCAGCAAATCTTTGGAACGACGAGGACTGCGAATATAAAACAATGAATATTTATATCGTACCATATGTACACCCAGAAATGAAGGGAACAGGCAGCAAACTAGTTATCTGGATTTGACCGTGAGGCCACGACGGGTGGTAAAATTATTAGTCAAAGATAATTAGTGAGACAAGTTGGAATCTTAATAATGAGTTTTAACATTGTGATTGTGCACTAGCTTTTACTCAGAATTTACATTTCACTCAAAATTGTATGTAGCTCAAGCCACAACTAACAGTAATAAGTAAGTTGCAAGTTTTGAGAACTTTTTGAGCCGTGATTTTCTATCCAAAATTAATCAAACTGAAATTTCTGTACCACAATATTGATGTTTCTATTGGTTTTTGCAACAACCCACAAGATCCTTTTCAATTGGACATGGAACCAAATTTCCAGAGATCAAACTCTGAAAGATAAAGCACTTACCCAAATTACATACAAAATCCGATGCTGTAATCCCATACGGTTGTATACATGCATACACTTCCACTGCGGTCACAACCCTAAATTTCATTCCTAAATTCTTATATTTGAATTTCTATAGGATTTGCGCTACCAAAAGCGCATCCTCTCATCTTTGGTTCTTTGTACCATACTTTGTAAGAGTACATATGTACGTGTTATGCTATAGTCGTCGCCGTCCTCGTCGTCGTCGTCAAAATCGCTCTCCATTATTGTTTCATTCCATTTGGATAAAAGCGTGGAAAGTGCCTTCGAGGGCAATGCTGCTGCTGCGCCATTTATTTTATGAGATTGGTTAGATTGTCCACTTAAGTACCACCGAAAGCTGTGTAAATCTATATTCCGATATATACAAAAAATTAAATAATTAAACAAGCACGGGTTGTTCAAGCCATCCTCTTTTCATAATGCACTTGCTATGTACATAATTGGCAAACACCAGTCTTACAAATAGTGCAACTTCGATTTTCTAAGTGTTACTTCTGGAGGCGATATTCTACAGCATATTTGTTCACCATTAAAATTACAAGCTTGTCGCAGTGAGTGACCTGGAGATGAATCAAAATCAAGTTCATCTCACACTTGGAACTAACTCAGTCTACTTCATCAACAAATATAATGAAATTAATTGTCGCATTAAATCTCGTGGAGTTTATTTGCATAAATTATTTGAGAGAGAGAGCGACAGTTCAAAGTGAAGTCGAGTCCTTGACTGACAATTAAATTGATGAAACCAGGCAGATATAACTTATCCGCTCGTACAGGCAGGCAGATTTAAGCGACGGGATACATTTGACGCAGCTCTCTGAGCTTTTTATCTCTGCTGGCTGATCCAATGAAACAAGTGTGGAATGCTATTTGTTTGTCTTAATACTTCAACTACTTTCCAAATCAAATGTTCACTATTCTGCACCACTGGTTTGACAAGCAAGGACTCGTCCAGCGCATACGGATGGACAGCAGCACCAGCAGCAGCAGCAGCAGGGAGAAGAGATCTGATCATGAAACGGAATCAACCAAACCAAACTAGTACCGAATTACGGAGAGCGAAAATATATGTACATATGCACACATATGTACATACATGCATACGTACATGCACATGGTGGAAGTGCTTGGTGTTATGTTGTGGTGTAGTACATACATAGAGGTCTGTATATCACGTATGTCATGTCATTGGTGTATTTGGCTTATCGCTGAAAACATTTGCTAATCTAAACGCTAAGAGCCCCCAAGTAAGTATTTACATGGGCGACATAGACATCGAAAGGAGAAGTGAAAATTCTCGAGACTTGTCTCATCTCTGAGCCTCTTATCTCCGTTTCGCATTCATTGCCTTTTATTTATTCACGTGTTATTATCATCTCATATGGATACATACGTTGCTTCAGCAGCAAGGAGTTAGAAAGGATCCCATTGTTTCAGTATCGATTGTTGGGTTCAACTCATTCTCATTGTTCCATTGGCTCATGGTGATTTTTCTCGCTATTTGTTTATTTCTCGCTTTTATTTATCTCGTCCCAAGGGAAGATGGATTTTTGCAAGTGATTCAAATTGGCATCTTCCTTTTTCTTACTACTTATTTTCTAGAAAGAGCTCAGCAGTAGGGCACCATTGCATTAGTTTCCGTTGGTTTCTGTCACATTCTTTCTTTGTGTTCTTGTTTGAGTTTGTCTTAAACTAATTCGACAAACGACTTTCCATTCGCATTCGGGAACTGACAATAGGGAAACAGACAGTGATAAATACAAATGCAGTCGAGGGTAAATCTAACAATCCTGTCTCAGAAACTGTGTCGTCTCATATGGTTATGGAAGATTAATTATTGGCGAATACTTGGACACATTTTTAATCTCAAAATTCCTTGCAATGGACATATTGGACATGAACGAACGAGCAGAAACGAAACAAAAATGCTACTGCCACCATGAACGAATTTTTCAGTTGTCACAAATTTCATACGTCATTTTCGTAGTAATACGTTTAGTTTTAACATATTTTTCATCCAGCCTGCATCAACATCCTGTCATTCCAGTTTAGAAATTAAAAATTGACCGGTTTCCGTTGTACCTGCGTATGTATGTACCTATGGTAGTACACACATATGTATATATAGGGCATTTTTATTTAGGCTAAGGTACTCTCCCACGCACTACTCACTATTATTGTGGGATTACTACATGCTAAAGCTCGTTTATAAGTCACTTTTACTTTTCCCGTCGTTTGTTATCCCCAGGTCGTCTGTTCGTGCAACAATGAAGGGCTGATACCAGACTCTGATTAACAAACAATAGGACGTTGTACATACATGTTACATATTCGGTTCACCTTCAACCATCGGCATTCGATTGACTCTGACTCACTCAACGGATGTCCATTCATTTCATCCTAAATACGACGAAATATACATAGTATGTAATTGTACTAGAGCTACATAGTCATGCCAAGCACATACTAATGTCATACAATACACGTTTTATTCAAATTGACGCACAAAGTGAAAAATGATGACTGTCAATTTTATATTTTAAGGAGTGGAACTCGCTCGGACTCTTGTAAATTGTTTTGGTTCCAGGGGCTAATTAATTTAGAAAAGTAGACTTTCTTCTTCTGCGGCATTTTTTCCCTCGAAATTGCCCACCACAGGAATGTTACTAGTGGAATAATAATAATAAACATGTGCTAATTCCCACTAAAAAATAATTCCTCGCACTTTTGCCTCCGTAGTTTTATTTTATTACCATTTCGCTATTACGCTTAAGTATCAGCGGTCCATCCTGCGCAAAGTGTACCATTTATTTGAGACGCTGAGAAAGACGTATTTGGAGATCTAAATTTTCGAATTAAAATGCGTCGCGTCGTGTGCCGCATTCCAGGGCGAAACTAGCTCGGTCTGGCTAAATACCTACGAGGAGGGTATCTCTTCGGTTCACTTCACAACAGTACAATTAGACCTTTTACGGCTATCGCAATCTTTATGAATAATTAAGCAAACCAAGTCTCTACCTGTGCCAATAAACCAATCCAATAATTTATATTAATGGTTTTGTCTACCTACTTACCTATACCTACAAAGTAAACTTTTTCACTTGCAGATCTTGGTTGGAGATTGAGATTTGTGAGTTTAGTTCTCCTTCCCAAGTGCCAAAGCCAAATAAGGTTTAAATAGTAATAGTGTGACTTTACTCGGTTTGAGGAAGGCAGGCGTTGCATTGGTATCTCTGTTTCGGTTAATAGCATTCGCACCATTGATGATATGTTGATACTGGAAATAAAAGACCCACGGAATCGTGGAGGAAAAGTTATCTGGTGCAGAACTAAGGGGAACTATCAGTGTATGTAACCCGACTGGAAATGTGGTGGCGTGGGTTGCTGTGCTGCTTTGGCGTGGAGTGGAACGTGCCTGGACTGAAAAGTCTCAATTCCTCGATTCCCAAATGATTTCAGAACCTGATCATTATCATCGCACTTTTTTGCCACCAAACCAGCAGCACCTCAGGCTTTTGCTCTTCCTCCTCTCATCCTTGACTCTTATCGCAGCAGGCAGCAGCATGGAATGGGTACAACTGTGAACTAATACAATTGTCCCAACGCTTTTCCCCTACGTACGTATGTATAGACGTGAGTGGATGCAATGTGCTGGATGTGATGTCAGGCATACGGCCAAAAAAAGACTGCTAATTGTTATGTACAAGACAATAAGAAATAATAAAGCGCTCTATTTGTTCTACTCGACACGGATATCTGTTCCGTGGTCCCTGCAATGTACAAATCCTAGTCGAAGTAATCATCTAACCCCACATGAATGATTTCCTCGTTTCGAAAACATTTCGCATCCGCCATCTCATTCACCCAGCCATCGTAGATTATTCTTTTGGCTCATTAATGGCGTGTCAATTTACTCATTTATTCCCAACCTGTCGTAGTATTTCAAACATTGCTGATTTTATTTGTACAATTTATGTTTTGTGAATAAACCGGTGATTTATGTACATGTAACCTTAATTTTTATCAAGCGTTTCGTAAGTTTTAGTTGCGCGATGCGAGTGTGTGATTATTTATCACAGACATATTTACGTATTTATTATGTTGTGTGTTTATAGCTGTGCTTACTTGGGCTGGCTGTTTGTCATTTTATGTCCAATGCCTGACATGGGTTTCCTGTTCCCTCTCACTTATGCAATTTACCTGTACACAGTTTGTCAAAACAATGTCAATTAATTATATAAGAATGAATTACACAAGTACATATTCAAAATAACTGCCGTTGCGACTTGTTCATCTTTATTGCTTTTATACATACATTTCTCGTTCTATGGATCTACGCAGCAGAATATGATGGCTGATGCAATAATAGGTCTAAAAAGGACCCAGTTTAAACTCAAACATTTATTTATTCTCATTTACATAGCCTAAAGACAAGTTAAGTCTCGTTCCTCTCATCATTGTTTGGAATAATTTGCCTGGGAAGAAGGACCAAATGTAGCCTTCTTCAGTCCGTTTTCAAATAAAATAAAATTTTTGAGCATCTGTTCTGCTGGCTATTATGATAAAAGCACCCGTGCCATGCACTATTTTATTAACGAGTTGAGCTCATTCTCCGAATATCCATGTTGGACTTAACGAGAGGAAGGAACAGAAGAAAGGGCCACCACCATGTCGTCATCAGGCTTATACATATTCCTTGCATAGCATCTCATTACGTTACCACTACCACTTTTGAAGTGAATTGCCATGAGCAATTCTCTCTTTTACTTACTTCCCTCATCGCCGTGGCACAAGCCAACTGAAACACGAAGCGTGTCCAACTCAAAACAAGAAGAACGGAGATAAAATGCACTTTTCTTACTGAATATGCTTAAATTTCAATGGTTGGTTAAATTAGATTTTTCTGTTGGATACAACAAGTCTCCTGTTCGTATATTTGAATTAAAATATTTTAACTTTTCATGACAAAAAGAACGATTCCCACACAAAGCATATCGAATTCAAATCTTAAACTGTTGGGCTCACGTTTTGTCCAAACTCAACAAAGATCTTGGTCTCCCTCCCGGCAGGACCTCTCTCTGCAATGTGTGTTTAATTCGATGGAATGTAAATTACAACGTATAAAGCATTTAATTGAATTACGTGAGGATAACTGCTCCACTTTTGTATTTATTTAAAAGTAATAGAAGCATTCATTTTCATGTACATTTTATATTAGCTTTCGGAGCTATTTAAAGCTAGTAGGACTGCCAATGAGTTGAGTTGAGCTGAGTTGAGGGTTAACTCAACTCAACTCAATAAGAAAAATCACCGACTCAAACTCAACTCGACTCAAATTAGTCTCAACTCAAACTCGACTCAACTCAAATGTTAACGACTCAAACTCAACTCATATCATATGAGTCGACTCACCTTTTTTAGAGTAAAATATTTATTTAAATAATTACGTTCAAAAGGGGTTAAAAATCTCGGTAAACTTCAGATTTTTAAATAAAACTTCCGTTGAGAATGAAATTGGTATTCACCAATTACAATTTTCATGATTTCCTACAGAAGATTAAAAATTTTAATTTAAAATCTAAATACAACTATAAAATTGCTGTTAATTTCGATAAGCTAATCAACAAATCGGTATATGATTACTACGTATGTGTATTTAATAGTGTAATTTTTCATATATTTTTTTTGACAATTGCAAATTTTTCCATTTTTTTTATTTCACTCAGCCTAGTAAATTAATCTTGAGATATTTGGAGAGAAAGTGATTCACGAGAATCCGAATGTGAAAAATACAAAAATGTAAATAATTTTATCACAAATCGCTGGCTAGAGATTTAGCAACTTGCTTTCATCAAGGTGAAAATCTCGAAATGGACAAACTGGCAGTAAAAAAATCCTTAATGAGTTGACTCATGAGTCAACTCGAACTCATTTTCCGTAACTCAACTCAAACTCATTATTTTTCGACTCACTCACAAAGTGAGTCGAGTTAAACTCTCGACTCAAACTCAACTCAACTCACTAACTCAATGAGTCAAATGAGTTGACTCGAACTCATTGGCAGTCCTAAAAGCTAGCCAAGAACAGATTGCAGGTGCATGATCAAGAGTTTTGTGAGGTTGAAAACCTTAAAAAAATGGAAGCCCTGCTTCTTCTTGAGGGTTTGTTGAGTTTGATGATGGAGGAGGAGGATGGTTTGGATTCGGCTATTTGGGACTTCCGGTGGAATGGAATGAATACACGAACCGGAACAGAGGTTCGAGGTTTTGTTTGACTCTCTCACCTGCCATACACCCAGTATTCTCGAATATAAGTAATATTTAATACCACCAAAATAATCTTACACCGCAGCAGTCGTCGTCATCACAAGGTAAATACATACACACATTATTATTATCCAACCGTTGTGGGATAAATAGATATCAAATGAGTCCTTGTACATGTCTGAGAATAATAAGTATGTAACCATTGTCATATCCGATGTAACCTAACGCACTCCACACTCTGTTTAGCTTTGTTAATTTCGTAAGGGTGGTGTATGTATGTGCTAGAGTTTGACTTTTCAATATAAATTACATCCCTCTGTCTTTAAAATATCAATTCTTCTCTTTCGCAAGAGCGTAAATGTGTACGAAATCACATTTATTACTGTAATTGAGTTGAGTGGCATTTCATTGTTCATGACGGAATTCAAATACATCAACAAGAAAGGTATGGATTTTGATGACGGTTATTAATACCTATCTGGCCAATTCATCAGCCATTTCAACTCGCTACCACGAGATAAAACACCATCACCACCGTCGACCATCGTCGTTATCACGGTTGGCTAAAATTCGAAATTAATTCGAATCATATTAATTTATTCGTGCGTTTATTCTGTACGCGAGAGGGTGAAAGGGTTGACTGCATCGTTCATTCACTGCAGCAGCACCTCATCATTTCCATCATGAGAGTGGGGGAGTCGGTATTAATTAATTAAATGTAGATTTGAATAGAAACAATTAATAATAGGTACGTAGCTGCATATATATTGCCAAACTCTTTGTTTTAATGACATGAAATATTAGGAGTGGAGTATATTATTATGTTATGGCAGCTGGAGTTTCTCACGCTCAACCCCTTCACCGACAAATTGAGGAGGACTTTAACCGTCGTGCTATCTACGAGAGTCAGATAATATTTGCTTTTACCATTTTCCCTCAATTTGCTTAAACCATACGCACATATGTATCTGCATGTACGTATGTTTGTGTGTAAATGTAGTATTATTTGCAGTGTGGAGGAATCCAATTTGGGTATTTCGTACTTATCGTGTTTAACGAGGTGGGTGGGTGAGTAGTTTAGGTGGCTGGCTAACTAACTACTCATTCTGTGTCAATAAAACCTCTCTAGTTACATACATAGAATTCAACATTGAAGCAACACCTCATGCTGTTTGAGATTTTTGTCCAAAATCACCCATGCAAACATTGAACCGTAAGCAATATCACGTTATTTCATGTCTTGCTGCATCTTTGAGTTTGAGTCAGTAAATTTTGCCCAAGTCGCATCTCTTACGTTACGTGGTGGTTAGTTTATTGGTTTGAGAGTAGCATTATGAGATTTTCGTAAAATTATTCAATTAAAGGAAGCAAAGATGCAAGACAGATGGGAAAAGAGGATGTTATATATATACATAAAGAAACAGATAACCGGGCCTATGTACGTATATTAAGCAGTGTTGAAGTCGCGATGATGAGATCACGATGGTGGTGGTTGTGCTTTTTGGTGACATTGACACAAAATCGTTAGTTGCTCTCGACACGACTCTCGGATGATTCTTTATGTTTCGTTCTTTTTTCTTCGTGGTGGCTGCTCTCAATCTTTGCTCTTATTGCATCCATCCTCCATTGTGAGTGCCATAAGAGAAACGATCTTCTTGTTAGCCGAGTTAAAATAAAAAAAAGTTTGAGTTAAGACAGTTCAGAGGAGGAGAATTGACAAGCCGTGTCTTGGACAGACAAGCAGTGTATCAAACTTGTTCAAACAGGGCTTGTTTTGTCCGTCTCTTCTCATCCTTAAAGTAAATTCTTCTGCTCTTGTATTTTAGCACAACTTGCTTTACTCGCCCCAATGTTCTCATATCGCCACACTGTTTGCTAAGTTGTATATCTTGTTAGGAAAATTGTAACAATATTTCATCCTCCTCCTTGCTGCCATATGTGGATACTTTAGATAAGAAATCGTATGGTATCAAATAAAGGGATAACATCTTTCTTGTCTCGGGAACGACCAGGGCAGAGTTTATGTGTTTGTTTTAGTATTATTATACTCCTGCTGCATGCACACGATGAGGTGTCTCTTCTTCTCTCCTTGATTATGATATGCTACACTTATTACACACGGACATACATAAATATGCATAATGTGCAACTCCGCAGATGTATGTATGTGAATATATCCATTTATATTAGTTAGCTACTTTATGGACATTACTGGAAATCTCACTTTCAAGTATTATAAAGTTGTATATTAATTTAATAAACGACTCCATCTCTGCAACTGCGTCGCAAGAGTGTAATAATAAGGTCGCATTTCCCTTGAGAAGGTCCGCGTTGAATATGGTTTGAAATGAATAATTTGAAAATGATGTTGCCGGATGGAACAAACCCATGCAGGCAACTTTACTCACTTGACTTTATTCCTTCATGATCATCATGATGATGATGTTGTTGTTTGGGTGGATTTAGATTGTGTGGGGCTTTGCGTAGCCTAACGAAGACCTAAATCCTTAATTAATTCGCTGCTCCTCTTCAATGTACGAGTCGTAACATTTAGATGAGAAGAGGGGATAGAAGGAACGATGTGTAAAATTGGGTGCAAAATTACAAACAAGTATTTTGGTTGCCTTCAACTTTAGCAATTTATTGCTGGTTTGCTGCTTCTCTTTCACCCAGTTATCCGTACATACGCAAGTTGTGTGTTATTATATGCTCCACTTTCAAAAATTTGAGATGGATACTGACGTGCAGAATGCATTACGAGTTTTCCTGTGATACGGTCTAAAACAGTGTGCTTGTGCCATTTCCATGCGGATCTGGGTGAGCATATACATAAATATGTATCCAAATAAATATGTAGGGTTGACTGGGCTGCTCTGACTCTGACAACATGACTTTCTCCACCACTCTTCTGCTCCTGTTTTGTTTTGTCATTTGAATTAAACGTGCTGGCTACTGGGTCTGAATGTGGATGTGATGGAGGATGAGACCAGACCAGAAATTCTAATTTATAAATTGGATGGAACAACCAGGCAGAGGAGTAAAATAAATGTGATGAATATTCATGAATTAGATCTCTTCTTCAGCTTCCTCCCATATCTTTCCTTCCTTCCTTCCTTCCAGCCCTACCTACTCCATCCATATATTCAAAATGAGCACACATATTCCAGCCGTCGGTCGGTGACTGCTGGTTTACTTGTGTGGGACTTGCTCCATTGCTGTAAAATGTTATTAAATTGTAGGATTTGCACGGATTGCTTTATCTCAACCACCTTGACCAGAGTTGGCTCTGACAGATGGAAAATGTATGGGGCTCGTGTACACATAAATACAGAGAGATTCAACACTACCAGCACCCGCATCAGAAGCAATTTATGATTTTGCAAGTTGGAGGACCAACAAAAGTCTCTAAATTCATAAAGTCTCGAGTTAATTATTTATTCAGAGGAGTTGCTCCACGTTCGTTCTGTTGATTGGATTATGAGGGAACTTTCTCCT